AGGTGTTAGTTGATCGCCTTTTGTGCGAGCGATTAATCCCTAGGGGGGTAGAGGGTGTTAGTTAGTTGCCTTCTGTGCGAGCGACTAATTAAGGGGGGGGGTTTTAACAAGGCAGGCTGCTAATAAAGAGCCTCCTCTGCGTAGCTACGCACGCAGTAGGTTTCTAATTGTGCGGCCTGTATTATCTCCTCTGCGTGGCTACGCACGTAGTAGGCAAGTAGTTGCACAGCCTATGTTAATAGGAGGCTCTAGGGCGCATAAAGGCTTAGTAGTAAGCCCTCTCTATGTAGCTATGCACACAGCAGGTTGCTAATCTTGTCTTTGTGCAATTAGTTAATTTAGAGGCGTGCATAAAGCTTACTTACCTCTCTCTATGTGGCTACACATATAGTAGATGTAAGCTTCTTTATACTTTTTTTATATAGCTATGCACGCAGTAGGTGTAAGCTTCTTATATAGTAGCAGTTTTATTAATCTTTATAAATTTACTTATTAAAAAAATAGGTTTTTTATAAAGGCTTAAAAAGCCCTCTTTGCGTAGCTACACACGCAGTAAGTTTAAGCTTTTATAGTAAAATAGTTTATTAATAGACTAATTAGTGTTAGTTAACCTAAGTTTAATTAAATAAATATACGCTTAAGAGGCGTACTAAGAGGTAAGTAAGTAAAGATTTTTTTATTATTAACTACTGCCCTTTTTTTTTATACAAAGAAAGAGGGCTCTTAAGTACACATAGCCCCTAACACATAGGCTAGATAGCTAACGTTTCAGGCAACCTAATTCAGCTGTACGCGTGTACAGACACAGCTGTACTTACGTACAGACACTAAGCTTATTTAAAGATTAGAAGTAGTTTAAGCAGGCTATTATACCTTTTTTAAAAGGCTTTTACTTTACAGCAAGTATAGCAACATAATACGTATTAGCGTACAGTATAGAACATGCGGGGCTAGTAGTACTCTTTCTGTAGTAGGTTAAGAGTCTTTCCTCTGCCTAGGTGTTCTCTAATAGGTAAGTTATATATAATTTAAAGTAGTTTAATTCTTAGTTTATTAGAATTAAGAATTATAAGTTAGTTATAGTAATATAGCTTACTATTTTAGTTTTTATAGTTAGCTAGTGTTACCTTCTTTAACTAACTAGCGCTGTTTTAAAGCAAGTCTAAAGTTTTTTAAATAAATTTATTATTTAGATACTTATTAGTAATAATTTAATTAATTATTTAATCTATTTTATTTAAGTTAAGGTTTAAAAATAGCTTAAGTTAAAGCAAAGTTTAGTGTTAAGCCTTTTACACTTTTTTTTAAGTAAAAACGTTTTAAAATTACTTTATAAAGGCATTTAGTTTCTCTTTATTTTAACTAGAATAATAAGTAATTTTAAAATTAAAATAAGATAAGTATTTAGACTAATAGGCTTATTAGTAGCTAAG